ACACACACACACACACACACACACACACACACACACACACACACACACACAGAGCTGTTGGCACCTGTCTGTTATCTCTTCCCCTCAGACCTGGTTTTCCATTGTGCTCCACGGGAGAGCTACAAATTGAGATCTCAAACATGAAGAGGGGCAAATGACTTGTGTGTAGAAAATCAAATCCGCTAATGTGTTACATGTGCAAATTCACAGGCCTTGTATTAGAGATTAATGTGTTCCCCCTTTTATCGAAAGTGTAAGATATATTTTTGAATGCAGCCTCAAATGAAATCCAACCAAGGACGAACACAGAATCACAAAGAATGGGAAATATTTACTGAACGTATAATCAAACAGGATTTGATTTGCATGAGTAAAGTGTTATGTAAGGAATCCATTTGTAGATTGGAAATACGATGGAAGTCTTTAGCAGAGATTACTATTTGGTTGAAAGACATGCTAAATGAGTCATAAACCATTTAGCATAAAGTGAAAGAAAACATAAAAAATGCATGTGATATTTAATAACAGGGGGAGAAATACAAATATGTAGTAGACACAGAGGCTGCTGCAGGCTCAGCATAGGTAATCCTAGCCCGGTAAGTGGAGTTTTGGAACATGTCTTTACAGATCTCCACGGGTAATGACTCAACCCTAAAACCTTTACAGGCCTTGTCAAATATCTGCTGTGCCAAAGTTGTTTTTTTCCTCCTCTCCCCCTGTACCTGCTGGATCCATCATTCTCAAAATACACAGGTGCCTTCAAAATATCATGGTCCTGTGCTCCGGCTGAAGAGAGAGGGGGGGAAAGAAGACTACACTGCCCATTTAGGCCTCTGAAACTGGTGTATTACAAAAAAAAAAAAAGATATACTGTAACTTCAATCTGCCCACATTTCTGCTTAGGCATTTATCTCCTTTCTCTCTAAATCCTGAAATTGCCTCAGAAAAAAGGGGAGAGATATTTTCCCCTCCTCGTACATTTTCACAGAGTGGCGCACAACTTTCTTTCTTTCCTTTTTTTTTTTTTTTCTCCTCTCCAGTGAAAATTGAAGAGGCTTTATGTCAAATGCGGCTAAAGCCAGCCTCTCCATATCAAACAACGCAGCGCGAAAATTACTGTGGTGATGATAAGGCTGCCAGATAGAGTGGAAGAGGAGAGCGAGGGGGAGAGGAGAGGGGGGAAAAACTGAAAGGAAGTGACTCTACTCAATTATTCTGCAAAATTGGTATGACTGAATATTTTTCATTCAGGTGACTGATAGTATCAGTGAAACTGCAATGCAGATAAATAAAGGAGCCTTCTGTCAAGAATAAACACCATTAATCATGAAGCCAGCGACTGCGTGACCGCCTGTCCCCCTGACTTACTCCATAGAGAAAGTATTAAAGAGGGGGAGCAGGAGGGGGAGAGATGGAAAGAGAGAGAGGGGAGGATGGAGGGAAACCAGTGAGTGCACCGGAGAGGGGTGACCTACGAAGTCACACAGAATGGGTTTTGGACAGTTGGAGCGCAGGATGAAGAAGTGGCCCTCGTCTCCCTCCGCCTGCTTCTCAGTGACAGCAGCCATATCTGGACAGAGATGATCAGACGCGATTACGAAATAATCATCAATTCCTAATGTAATTTATGGCCTTACTTCCCATTCTGTTCTCGTCTAGACAATATTCAAATGTGAATATCAATGAGATACTTTAACGTGTAAACTAAAATGTTGCTTGTAAATAACAGAAAATACACCGTTACAAAGTCCAGCTACCACGTCCATAAAAATAAAGCACAAAAACTGAAAACCGAAATATCGACTATCACACGAGGCCTTGACGGAGCAAAGTGAAATCACCCGACTAATGAAGCCGCACAATTAAAAACACTTTTCATCAAGCTTCTATAAAAGCTAGACTGCATTTTGTTGTCTATTGTTACGTCTGCACTGTGTGTGTGTGTGTGTGTGTGTGTGTGTGTGTATTTGCGTATATATATATATATATATGTGTTGCAATGCTCGGCCTCATCCCATCTGGAAGGTGGTGTGGAGATAAGACTGTGGTCTTTATGCTAAGCAACATTCCGCTCCTTTATGCCCAGACTGGGCGCTCTGACAACAGTTTATGTAAATAACTAGACAACAGTCAACACATTTTTTTAAAAAGAGCGAGTGAGTGTGTAAAGTAGAGCTGTTGTGCAGAAACAGTGTAAAATGATGGAAGTCAGTTGGTGACGAGGTGATTCGCTCGATTTCGATGGATCTTTACATTAAATTATGTTTCTTAGGCAACGGATTAAAGTCAACAAACTCCTTCCTGGTTCACCATTTCAGAGCTGAGGTTGTGCTGCAATGACTGAGACATGCCGCAGCTCTCCCCTGGTACCTCCAGAATACCTTCCAGTCAGGCCAGGCCCGCAGCTGAACAAACACACTCCTGAATGAAAACCACACAGGCTGGGAACACGGAAACACAACCTCACAACCCCCAGACGCATTCTACCCCCACACTGACAGAAAGTACAGTCCACGACTTCATTCACGACTTCATTCAGATTGTTGCATTTTTCTAAATCAATATACAACAGTAGTAAATGTATACATTCATCTATATTCTGTATATTTACTTCCTGTTCAAGTGAATGGAAAAGTGGTTTAAGACTTTTGGACTCCTCTGTTTGTATATTTACTTAGTTTAAAATGTAATATTTTGCATAAGATGCTTCAACAAATTATACATTTTCAAAAAGATCTATAATAAATAAAGCACAAAAACTTTATCTTAAATACTCAATCAAACTAAAAGTAGGCAAAAACTCCGACCTCAGGCTTTTCTATTTGTTTTACAACTTTATAAACTCTCTCATTGACTCAGGAGTTTTGGCCGATTCTTTTCTAAATCCACATTTGTTAACTGCACTAAAGGCTGTGAGTCAATTGCTTATCCCATAAGAATGTTTTGTTGTTTTTGTGGCCCCATTCTCACAGCACGAGGGCCCGGGACTCCAGAGCAAACTCTGTCCCTGATAATTGACTTGTGCCGAATACCTCTGTTTGTTCTGAGCCGTCTCCGGGTGACCGACAGCCGGGGCTGAGCCACACGAGGGGCACTGTTTTGTTTTCCTGTGTACTATAGTCCAGCAATAAAAAAAGCCAGAATGAAAGAAGCTGGCTCTTCTCTTGGCCCCCTGCATCCCCCCCCAAAACTCTCATTAAGCTGGTCCCCGCACAATGGTGGTGGCACAGGGGACCAGAGCTCCCATGGAGAGCCTGCTCTTCACCGATCAATGTGTTTATTTAAGCAGGAAGCATCTTCTCTGGAACAGGAAGGGTTTTTTTTTCTCTGTTTGGTAGCGCTGGAGGTCAGAGAGAAGGGACCAGATAAAACAGCTTTCACTGGTCCTGGATCAGTGCGATACAACGGGAGTTTGGCTGAATTGAAAGTCACAGAAACCTGGTTTCAGTTTCAGCTCAAACTGACGTTGCTGAAACTCTTCAAAAGCGCAGTTCTTTCACAGGGACATACGAGTTCCCCAGTAAATCAAGTGCACCACAAGAAGGCACCCCCACCCCCTTCCCCTTCCCTCCCGACCCTGCGGCTTTAATATTGAATGGCACATTGGTACCTTCCCCACAAGAATTCATAAACTAAACGATTAGCCTCTGTCTGTAATTGCGTCCTCCCTTGCCTAATAGGGGGGGTGAGGTAAAGAGGGAAAAAACAAAGGACAGTTAATTTGTGATTTCCTCTGCTCATTTGAAGGCAAATTAAGTGTCAAACAGCTAATACGGAGCATATTTCATTTTATGAGCTTTTAATTTAATTCTACCACCTCATATTGCTGGAGCCTGTTAGCGCAGCTAACGGCCGCTCTCCTCGTGCAAGAACGGGGCCATAAATAAACATGTTTCAATTAGACCCTTCACGGTAATAGGATATGATCCTGTTCATTTGCCACGTATAGATGGTGGATGTGTCATTGTGGCAGAGAGGAAACAAGCTGCTGGGCGTCTGCTGTGTTTTGCTCCGGCCACGGATGCCCAGTGGTGACTGGCTCGCAAGCGTGCGGCGGGGGGAAGCTGGCGGGATTGATGGAACTGCCGCAGGGCCAACCCAACTGTAATTACAGGCCGTAATGAGAGGCTGCATGGGGAAGTACTGCAATAATAGTCCCTGTGTACTTAGGCATATCTTTGAGAGAGCTAATAACAATTAATTCTGTTCACCGAGGAAAACTTGTCTTAAAACAATTCAATATTTCTCCATAAGCCGGCTCCTGTCCTCCATTTCCCCGAAGCGACAGCTACACGATGACTGCCTTTATGTCGTTGGCCTGGCTACAAGCAACATTGCGTTATCGAGGGGAATGCATCACTTCTAAGTCATCAGGGAGATTTTTCTCTCTTTTTTTTTTGCTGTAGCTCTACGGATATAAAGTTTGGCCGCAGCTAAAAGTTGCTAAAATCCGAACCTGGGAGTGCAATTAACTCCAATTAGCCATCAGGTGGTTGGACCCAGCTGTTACTGATGATGCTTCTGCTCACCCAGGGATTCAGTGCTGCTTTTAATCAAGCAGGCGATATTGCTGCTTCCCAGCGCAAAGACCCGAAAGTAGATGAGATTTCTACGTGGAGCAAACGTAAATTCATAGCTAACATGCATGATGGTGAGTTCACAGACTTGATTTAAACAAGCTTGGCTGCTTAACAGCTGTCTTATAATAATGACAAATAGTTCCCCCTCAGCGTAACGTGTCATATTAAACAGCTCTATGCTTAATGGCTTGGATAAATAGGCCATAAGTAGCATGGCAGAGCACGGCCATGTCTCCAGTGACAGCAAACCAACCGTACAGATAACTCCTGTCCGGACGGAGTGACTGAAGACACTCTGCGTAACTTCTCCCCCTTAATTCAATTCCCTCGCTCCATGCTGTCCCCCTACCCCCCACTCCTCATTTCTCTCCTCCCCCCTCTCTAACCTGCGCTCCTGATCATACCAAAGCGCTCCTGACGGATAACAAGCCTGGCTGTTTTGTTCAAGCCTGTGTTGCCGCGGCGTGTTCGCCCCATTATCTCTGCATAAGCTAAATGCTAAATTATATTTGCCATTTTGTTTGCAGTGACACGGGGCATCAATCACCTCCCTTTTTTATTTCCTCGAGCCTCCCCCCCTCCCTTTTCCCTCTGCTGCAGCCCCTGAGCAGGAGACGAGGGGTTGAGAGGTGGGGTGGGCCAGAGGTGGGGGGACATAAAAAATTCATTACGCTTAGTGGCACATCAGCAAGGGAGAGATATGACTCCTGAGGAAAGGAAGGGGGGAGTTGATAATGATGAAGAATATCAAACATAATACGGCCCAAGTAGCTGCCCCATCCAATTTGTCCTCGTCGCGTGGTGATCGCTTCCTTCGTGTCTGCGGGTAAGAAACAAGCGCCACAAGGACGATGAAGCATCTCCTTGTGTTACTCACTGTTCCGACGAAAGAATACAAATGATGGCAAGAGTGAAAGATATAGAAAGAGTGAAAGAGGGTGACGAAAAGAGGGAGAGAAGAAAAGAGTGTAATGTAAGTGAAGTGCTTTGAAGTTCTCTGTGACGCTGGCCGGTCAGTTACTCCTGGGAAAACATGAGACGACTTTAATAAGGAGTCCCCTGTTTACAAATTCTTCCCACTCCCATTCTATAGACTGTACATGCATGTGAGTGGATGAGGCGGGATGGTTGGTTGCATACAGTTCATGTGTCAGAAGCCCATCTGTGTCTGTCAGAGATGGGTAGATGTCAGCGGAGGCACTGCTTCCTTCTCTTGACAGGGCTTGATCACTGCTCTTATGAGAATCACACGCTCCCAGGCTCCCCCTCGCCCAGCTCTCGTTTCCATGTCTCTGACACATGTTCATTTGTGTGTCTCTGACACGCAGATCATGTTGCACACTCACAGGGCTGCGGTTTTTGATCCTTAAAAGGGGAAAGAGAGGCGCTCGGCACCCACAAGGAGGATGCTCCACGCCCACGGGCGGAAGCAGGTTGAGGGGCTCGATTTGTATCACCATTAATAATGGGGAGCTTGCCGCCGCCGATGTTCGTAACGCAACTGAATGAAATGTTCTCTCACGTACGATTGGCAATATTTCAGCTTTGAGTGTAAGTGTGGATACACGACCCGACTCCGGGTCAGGCCAGGTTCTAACAAAATGTTTAAAATGATATTTGAGTTTGAGCAGGGTTCAGTCACATTGGCTGAGCTATCCATCTACTTGATTCTTTTACTCTGCACATGCCTGCAATCGAGGAGAATATTGGGCTTTGGTAAATTTCTGACATAAAACACAGAGAGTTTGAGACACTTACACGTGAAGAGGGGGCACAGGGGAGGGCTCGTAGATGTAACGTCCCTGGGCATGTCTGTCGTCAATGGGCACAGGAGGATGGAAGGTAGGGAAGAACTGTGGCGCAGCTGTGTAGAAAAGAAAAGAGAAAGAAAATCCATTATTTTTTTTACACTTTGCAAAACCACTGGTTTTTCATTCCCTCCTAATCTCGATAGCAGCCATAATGAAAGGCAGTGGTTGATTGCTATCTTTCTGCAGACCCACCCAAATGAGACCTCATTAAGCGAGCTAAAAGCTGCACGGCTCCAAAATGTTCGCTGAGGAAGTCTGTAAATGTCTCAAGGCTGACAGAACTCAAAATAAACAGAGATAAATAACCGTAAAAAAAAGCAGCCAAATGACACATTTCTCACTGAGCCAAGCATAATATGGTTTTGTACAAAGGATGATGTTTAAGTACAACCACTGAAACGTACGAAACGAGAACAAAAACATCCTTTTCCGTTTCACTGTTTTGTCACAACTGCCAGAGAGAATCGAGAGCCCCCCCCCCCCGCCAGATAAAACATTAAAACATTTGCATAACATGAGCTCCCAGGCCTTTCTCTATTTTTACCCCTGAAATTGAAACTGATGTGCTGCCTCATCTTCTAACCTGAACTGCACTCTGCACCATAATCTCAAAAACTAAAGCTGGAATTTTGTGTCGCAACTGCGCATCCATTGTTGGAAAAGTTGCAACAAGTTAACCACGAGTGGGATTTTCTTCTGAAACACTGCCCACCTGTGGGTTGAAGGTTAAAACCTCCACAGAGAGACAGAAACGACACGACTGTTGCACACACTGCAACTTTTATGTGTCCACATAAGAACAAATTAATCACTTCTTCACTCACACACTGTCTGAACAAATCTCACGCCACTTTATTGCCTTTCTACTGAGGCCGCTGCCAAGTGGCATATCACCACCCTGAGGCAAAGCATGTGTCAGAGTCTGCACACGTTCACGCAACAAGTCTCCGAGGCTGCTAGCTGTGTGTTTCTGCTTGTAAACATTGGAGAGTTTTTGCCAAGAGGGCAGATGGCCAAACGGTTGGGGTGCCCGTGAGCTTTTACATGCATGGTGCCGAACGCAGCTGCATCACTGGGCAACACAGCAGGTGTTGCTCCCCAGCACCACTCAGGTCTGTTTACCTCATCACTCGTTCTTTCATTGGGATGATCATTGCGCCAACGCAGGTAGATTGTGTATCACATGCCCAAACTTCAAACTGAGACACCTAGGTGAGGTAATGAGTACTTATAGTTGGTATGTAATAAACTGATTGGTCGGTGTACCTGTCTGTCTCCAACCTCTCACATGACCGGAGTCTTCACAGGCATACACGATACTCAAAGCTTAGCTCGCGAGTCACGGACACGTTGCTTCAAGCAGTTGTCAGTCATTGTGTTTCAGGGGCTATATTTGAAATGGTTTAAAAAAATGAAGAAGCAACTGTGAGTTGTGGTAATGGTAAATAAATAATCCATTCACTTCTTCCCTTTCCCGTGCTGTGAATGATATATATATATATATTATTTTGTATTGTTACCAGTTGGATTTCTTTGGACGCCTCTTAAAATAAACACACTAACAGAATCAATCGTCGCTGTATGTGTTGAGACATTACAAGCTGGCGGTTCTTGAGTGCACTATGAATTAAAATCCTGACAGTGACCCTGATCTGCTGGAGCACCATTAGTTTCTGCACTAAACCACACAAATGGAGAGTCCAGACCAGAGAGCCCAAAGAGGCTCAGACATCCACGATACTGTGTAATTTTCCCTTTTTGATGCCCCAAATATTAGCCTTGGAAGTATTATATATTATTATAAGTGAAGAAATGCACAAACAAAGCTTCAAGCATAAGGAATTCATGCCCCTGTTGACTGTGGTTTGTTACTGTGCTCGATGAGTGAAAAGAAAACTTCTGTCCAAACTTTGAGAAACCATTCGAGGGTTTTCATCCTGGCTGATTTCAAAACGCAGAGATAAGTATTAAAAGCCTCCTCCATACAGCTCTGGCAGCTATCTGACCACTCCATCTCTGTCTGTTTAATAGTTTCCTCCTGATGACTCAGTTTTGGCTTGGCTCACCTCGGCCGATTCCAGAGCTGCTGAGGGAAGGAGGGATGAGGAGATGCTGGGACGGAGAGATTGGCCGGTGTTAGACAAGGGCAGAATCTGTTTTGTTTACTCTCCGTAGCTCCACTCCTGGGCTGCCGGCCCTCAGCTGTCAGAGTCGGAAATGAACCTTCAGGTTTGTGTACTGAGTTCTAGCTTGATGGGAGTAAAGGCTTCATGTTGTTGAAGCTGATCCCTGTAGGAACTTTGCACTGACCTCTGTCCTGTTGGGCAATGTGGGATGACTGCAGACATTACAAACCGTGAAATCATTTTGAAGACTCCACCCCTTCATTCCCACATCCGCCACTCCTCATTGAATTGCCCAGATCCCCCCTATGTTTATGTCTCTGGAGCTCCTCAGTCAGCACAGCCCTGTGCCTAGACTGGACCTTTTTTTTTTTTCTTCCTCTCGCTCCTTCATCACTCTTCCCCTCCCTCCTCTCACTGTGGCCCACGACTTTGCCGCATGGCAAACGGTTCCGCCGAGGTTTATTTAAATCTAACTCAGAAGTTTACTTTACCATGGCCCTATCTAAATAGAGCCTGCCACCTCTTTTACGCCAGCGCAGCTCTCCATTAGCAAGGCAAACAGCCCTGTGTCACTGGAGGGAATGTATACAGTCGCGAAGAACAGAGGGCGAAGGAGAGAGGGGGAGAGACTCCATCCTGCAATCCATCTCCAGTGTTTCCTGCAGGGACTCCTTACTGTTTACTCCGGGACTAAATTGCTCCTGCTCTTCTGGATATTCAGGGGTATTCTTCTAATAGAGAAAACAGCTGGAGGGCACATAGATAGCAAACACAAGCGGCACAGTTTTTTTTTTACCTGAATCAACCACCACTGGTAAAGAGAGGGGGATTAAATCACATCAGCCAAACACTGAAAATCAGGACTTTGGGAACACGAGGTAGTTTTCAAACTTTCTGACACTGAAAAACATTTTCATAGCTCTTCAGTACTCAAACATTTTAACGAGGCCAGTGCAACTTTTCAGAGCAGCATTATTAATTTTGTGCTAAAAATTTTTTGATTCTTTCAGGAGACTGGATAGACGTCATTAAGACATGATTACAAATGGGTCTTAATGAAAGGGCAATTAGAGGCAAACTTTGACCAAGCTCATTAATTCTAATTCAGTACAAACACCATGCTCAGGAATGAGGGAGAAGCCGGCTTCTCCTTCATTAAAGAGAGGATGGTAATTGCCTTGTCCTTTATTGGACACTTGAATAATTTCAAAAGAAGGGGGAGGACAAGGGGAGGATGAAGCCTAAAGCATATCATTTGCAATATCCTTATTGGTTAATCTCCTTTCATAATGGAAGTATTTCCACAAAGGATCTTCACCGGGCTTTGGAACATTTGTGATGTGATACTTTAGGAGAATTCGTGCTGTCACTCACAATTCTGATTTGGGTTTTCATAATACACAACAATAACAATTTCTCTTCCTTCTCTTTTGTTGTCAACTCAGCATTGTGAGTTTATTGTCTTGACGGCTAAACCTGGTCTCCTCCTCTGCGCTGGTGAGGGTTCACTGACTCTGCTCTAACAGAGCGTCGCCCGCAGCCGAGGACGAAACGCTCCTCTGTAAAAACGGCACTCCTCAACGACACGCCGCTGAGAGAGCACAAAGAGCCAGTGACAGATTGTCATAAGTGACTAAGGCGGAGGGAGAAAAGGGCTGCTGGGGCCTGCTCCAGAGGTTTGTGAATTGCTAATGTGGAACATATGAAGCCTGTGCCGTGGCTGAGACTGCCAGATTTCATTATGCCACCTCTTTCCCTGCTCATGATCTCACTGCTCAGGCACGCTCGTCTGCAGCGAGGCCTGCAGTTGCACCATATTTCTGCAACACTTTGCAAACTATGTGAAAGATGCTCCAGACTTTGTGTATCTGCATGTTTACAAGTACATGTGTGTGAAACTTGTGTCGCTCCTCTCTGGGAGTGAGTACCTGAGCGTGTACGTGAGTTTGCTGTAACGATGCAGGGCGTATTCTGTTACTGCTGTTCTTACTTACTCCTGAAGGTGTCATCTGGAGATGTCACCAGGGACACTGCAACAGGGGAGGCAATGTGGGCTCATGCCTGGGGCCCAGAGAACGGCGGATTAAATTAGTCCACAGCAACGATTCTCGTAATCTTTGAGGTTTGGTAGAAGACTAGAACATCTAAATATGTGTGTATGACTCGTCTGGGATGATGGTGGAGGATTGCACTTAAAATGTTCTATGTACATAATAATATACTATGACTTTATTGATATCTATGCCTGTGCACAGTATGCACTTTGTTTTTGGAGGGGGTCGGAATGGTTCAATGTTAGGCGGGGGGGTCTGAGGAGGGGAACATAAGTTATTCCACAAATAAAGTCATGAAAATGTTACATAATTCAAGGCTACAAACACAATACAATGTCTGCAGTCAAGCATGACTGTGAATGTTGCGTGCTTGCATGGTGTGTGACTTTGGTGCGTTAAACATTTTTCATCCTGCCTCCCCTGAGACACGTGACACACGGGCCTCCCATCAGTAACTGGCTGGCAGGAGATGGAGCTCATACAGACCATCAGCGGAAGTAGTCTGGACGCTGGCCCGCTGGTGAAGGGGAATTCTCCCTGTGATCAATCCCCTCACAACCAGTCTCTCATCACGTCTGCTTACACTGAGACCTCAAGCTGTTTGGACATGTAAACAACACTTTGGGAGTGTTTAGCTAAGCTCAATGGGAGTTGCGGTTGACTTTTGGAGCGCTTTGCTTAATTACAGGTCCCAGATTGTTTCAGGTCTAATGGCCTAATTACCACTGCATAAATTAGCCTAATGCTCTGGCTGTGCAAAGCTTTCTGTACAGTATGAAATGTTTGGGCACGGGAACAGAGAGAGATAAAAAACAGCTCTTTATTCTGCAAAGAGCAAGAGTTAAGAAAAAGGGAGAAGAAAGCGAGCAGAGA